ATTTTATCTACAACCTAACACAACATAATAATTTTAATTGTGTTCCAAAACATATCAAGAGTGGTCTCTATTTATAGAGTATGAAAAAAATACGAATTTTGGTATTTTTTTTAATTTTATTTTTTAAAATAAAATAATATCAATAATTTGAGTTATATTTATCTTATCATATAAAATTTATACCAATGAAAATAGGACAACTGTCCCATTCATTTTGTATGAAAGTTAGATAATATGGAATTTCCAAAAAATCTTCATGTAATCTTTTTATTTAGATTTTTTAATTATTTTTTTTTTCAAAATTTTCAAAATTGGTTATATGGTGCTCAGATTTCAACTTTTGCAAAAAATCTTTAGTTTCATTATATTGACTTGAGGTTGGAAATAAATTCTTTTTTTTTTTGCTGATTTTCTTGATCTTTTTTCAAATAAATATCATTTCCTCTTTATATATTAATAAATAGTTGAATTATAGCACTTATTACTTACATTTGAGGCCACTTTTCCATTTGAAGACGAAGTAATTATTATTAACTTTGGTTAATTTATCATTACATTATGTTAGTCTGTCCGAAACTCCAAATAACATATTATTATATCCTAATCCTAATAAGATATAATCACAAAACACTACAATCCTTTTTTTTAGTCAGCCACGGTATTTGGAATTTTGCCCCGACTAATCCGATGGTCGATCTGGGTCACAGACCTGACAATGATGGGTGAGTCTCTCAACAAAGGTTTTCTGCATTCACAATGACTCGAATTCGAGACCTTGCTTAAGGGACATCAAGCTGCTTACCGCTTGAGCCAACTTGTTGGTACACTGCAATCCTTTTTATCTGCTTCAAACGTGTCCAATTTTATTTATATACTCTCTCCGTTTCAAATTAAATGTCGTTTTTACTTTTTTGATTAATCCATTTTGCTATGTATTTAGACATATTATTATTTAGATATATAGCAAAATGAATGAATAAAAAAAAGTCAAAACGACATATAATTTGAAATTTGAGGAAGTATTTATTATTGTTTTTATATATTGGAGGAAAACATAAAACGTCAACCGTGGTCATATAAAAACTTACTGTGGTTACACTAGTAAACTACCCACGTAAATTATTCATCAACAAAAAAAAAAAAAATCAATTTTGAATTTTCATCAGATTAGAACTTCGAGCCCTAAGAGCACCCACAATGCTTTGGGTTTCTTAGAAAAAAGTTACATGCCATGTAAGGAATAGACATAGTCTATAAAAAAGTGTTCTCCAATGCAATTAAAAGTGGAATTAGTCTAGCTTATGTGGCAATAAAAAAATGAGACCTAGTCCACACTTGGGTCTATTTTAGACCCAAGTACAAACCCAAGCACTCATCATTTATTCCTCATTTAATTTTTCTTTTAATAAATGAAATATACTAGAACATTTTTATTGGTTGTCATGTATTCTAGACCTAGTACTTTTTGGTTTTGCATTGGATAGATTTTGGTTTTTTTAGTTTAGGTTTGTCCATGTCATTATGGACTTAAGTCTATTTATTTGCCACATATGTAAAAAGAGACCCAAAGCATTGTGGATGCTCTAAGCCCCAAAGTTTCTGGCGATTTTCGCCCGCCTCCGCTCGTCTCCGGCCGTTTACGCTTGCCTCTGCCCAGGTTCGGCCAATTTCGTGTCTCCATTTTATGTAATTGCTAATAGTTTGTTATCTTTAGTATTTTCAAGTTCAGGCATTTAACTTGAAATTTTATCGGGTTTTTTTTTTTTTTCTTTTTTCTCAGCGAATTTGATGAAAAATGGACAACACCTATGCCGTCTCAGCTGAAAATGTGGATGGATCAAATGTTGAACAAGATGAGTTATGTGAACTTGAAACTGAAGAGCCCGAATTGGAGCTGAGTGGATCCGAGCGGGCTCGAATACGATCTTCAAATGGTATGGTTGATATTCTCGAGAATAAATTAGCTGTGGGTACAATTCTTAACAGTATTGAAGATGCTTATTTGATCTACTGTCAATACGCACATGCTAAAGGATTTAGCGTTAGAAAGGGTGATCAACGTTGTTTTCCCCGTTGTGCTGAAATTCAGTCCAAAGTCTTTCATTGTTCATGTGCTGGTGTGAAAGATGAAAAAAGTTCTAGTAATAAGATTCCTACTTATCAAAAGCTAGTGACTAGAACTTCATGCAAAGCACAACTTAAAATTAAGAGGCCGAAAGGGGGAGATTGGGAAGTGAGTTAATTTGTTATTGAACATAATCATGAAATGTTTGCTCCAGACCAAACTCATTTGCTAAGGTCGGCTCGAAATATTTCTCATGCCAAACAATCAACTGTAGAAGCAATGGTGAATGCCGGAATATCTGTTTCTAGTGTTGTTTCTTACATGGAGAATGAAGCACATGGGTCAGAAAATTTAAAATTTAGTCAAAAGGATGCATGTGATGATCATATTGGGAGATTAATGAAGCATACAAAAATTGAAAATGGGGATGCTAATGCATTACTTCAACATTTTATAAGCAAGGCAAATAAAGAATCTTTCTTTTACTGGAATGTGCAGTTGAATGATGATGGCAGGTTGATGAATTTGTTCTTCAGGGATAATAGGTGTGCCGTGGACTACGAGTACTTTGGTGATGTTCTTTCCATTGATACTACTTATAGAACAATTAAGTATGATTTGATATGTGCTCCGTTTTTTGGCATAAATCACCATAGGAATAATGTGTTGTTTGGCTTAGCATTTATGTCGGATGAAACTCAAAGCTCATTTGAATGGTTGTTCACGACATTTCTTGAGTCAATGAATGGTAAACAACCTCAAATAATAATCTCCGATCAATGTGAAGCCATGATGAATGCAATAGAAACTGTTTTCTCGAATTCTCATCATCGTTTGTGTCGGTGGCATATAAATCAAAATGCACCTTCACACTTCAGGAATTTAAATGGTAATTCATCATTCCAGGCGTTATGGTGTAAGTGCATGTCCCATTGTGAATCCGAGGAAGAGTTTGAGAATACATGGAAATTTATGATAGATTCATATAATCTGCATGATCATAAATGGTTGAATGACATGTACAAGCTTAGGAGAAAATGGGCTATAGCTTTTAGTAACAAGTTGTTTAGTGCCGGACTCTTGGATACATCAATTAGTGAGAATGCACATAAAGTCTTAAAACATGCTGGTAGCAAGAATAGCTCTTTGTACGAGTTCGTTATGAATTATGAAAAAATTCTAAACCAGTGGCGCAGAGAAGAGAAGGTTGAAGACACTCGTTGTCGTCATGGCAAACTTTCTGAAATTCTTAAAAATCCCCCACTGCTTAATCATGCTGCTAATATGTACACCGTTGCCATTTATGGGTTGTTTGAGATTGAACTTGTCAATTCTTTGAATTGCAAATTTGATGGCTATCCTATTGGTAATGGTGGGGCATCACCACAGCTTCGAGTTCAAGTAAAATCCCACGGTGATAGCTTGAGAATAAGGCATGTTTTGATGAACACTCTAACTAATGAGACAAGTTGCAGTTGTCACAAGTTTGAGACCATGGGACCATGGGGATCTTGTGCAAACATGTTTTAATGGTGTTTAACTTCATGGATGTAACTGTGATCCCAGAGGCTTATCTTTTGAAGAGGTGGATGAAATGTGCAAGGTTGAGGGTTTGTAATGAAATTCAAGCTATTGATGGTTCTTGTGGAAGTGATGAAGAATCCGATATTGTTTTTGAGAACAAAGCTATGAGAATGGCCTACAATTTTGTTCACATTAGCAAACCTTATTTGGAGGCACGAAACATGTTGACCACAATGCTCGATGCAACAAGAGACCAAATTGTTGATTTTATTCAAAATTTAGATCTTGAAAATTCGAGTATGCATGATGATATTGAAAATGAATGTAATGAACAGAGCATGCTAATACGTAATCCAATTACAGCCAAGTCAAGAGGATTAATGAATCACTGGGATGAAAAGAATGAAAAGGAAAAAGGAATATCGAAGGTGCATGGTGATTCTTCAAGTAAGTTTTTTTTAGTTATATTATACTGTATTATTTTTCATTATAAAAAAAATCTCAGTTTTTTTTTTTTTCCTAACTTAATTGAATGTATTTACTTCCAGGTGAAAAGGGATCAAAATGGAAATTTCAAAGTACACAGGGCACTCAAAGTAAGTTTCTTGTTTAGTTAAATTATATTGTAATGTTTTTCATTATTGAAAAAATCAAAGTTCTTTTTTTTTCCCCCCTAACTTAATCAAATGGGTGTACTTTCAGGTGGAAAGGGATCGAAAAGGAAATTTCAAAGCACAGGGCACTCAAAGTCAAAACTCACAAACATCATTTAACTCAAGTTCCTAACATGCGGCCACCTCAAGTTCCTAATGTGCAGCTACCTCAGTTCCCTAACATACCACTACCCCAATTCACGAACGTATTGCCTCATCAATTTTCATTTCAAGCTCCACAATTTTTCACCTCAATCCGGGTCAAGTCGAGCACGTTGGCAATATCCAACTCAAGGAGTAAGTTTTTCTTTCCTGGTAAACACATAAAAAAAGACGTGTATTTATATTTATATGTTTGTTCTGCAGGGAGGCAATGGAAATATATATTTAGGTGGTCAACTGAATATATTCGGATATCCATTTCCGCATTCATCTCAGGTTTAAGAATAGTTTGATCTTCATAATATATTAGTTTTGTGACGGATAAAATAAAATTGATTCAGATTCATGTATTTTTTTTTCTCTTTAACAGGGCTCATCTCGTAAGGGAAAACTGAAATTCGAAGATTGGAGAATGTCTCATCGCAATAGTTCATAATCTAGGTCTATTTGCAACATATGTTAAGTAATTTGCATTATTAGACTGTCTATTTGTAGTAGCAAATTCGACTAATTTGCAATTGTATGGAGTAATTTGATTTGGACTTGAATATTTGTGGTAACATGTTATGTTTATTCGAGTTGGATTATTTTGAAGTAGTGTTTGAGTAATTTTGGAGTTTATTGATGGTGGTTGTCTTACATTGAAATTAGAATTAACTTGATTCTCTTTAAAAAATTTGTTCCTTAAGAGTGTGCCACTGTATGTTTTGCAGTATGTTTTGCAGGGATGTAATTTGAACCTACTAATGTGAACTAATTTGTAATGTCAATTGAAAAGAATAATTGAGCATGCTTATGCAAATTGCCTCTTTTTTTTTATTTAAAAAAAAAAAAAAATGCAATGAACTTGTTTATGCAAATTCCCTTTAAAGATTACTTACTCTTTTTTTATTGGTTTTTACTATATAATGGTACAAATGTTGGGCAAATTTCTATGGCATGTACAGCTAAAAAGAATGTTTGGGGAAAAAAATCTTAGCAACTAAAAATAAAATCTAAAGGGGAAATAGCTTTGACATAGGCTTACACATACACAAGGGGAAAATAGAAAATATATTATCATTAAAAACATAAGACAATAAAATGAGAGGAAAAATGCAATGAACTTGAAAATTTTGGTTACAGAAATATCTCTATCCCCAAAATAAGTATGTTTTCATTAGTTTTCGTGGTTAGGAGCAATATCCCCAAAGTTAAAAAGATTCACATTTTTTTGGTATATTTTTTTTTTTTTAAAAAAATCTTCCACATATAAGATGGATAAGAGAATTGTATTGTTACAAATCGTAACACCCCGTCTACTATTACTAAAATCAGAGAAAATTTTTCGCGCTATAATTGAAAAACACTGATTTAATTTTTGAAAATTCTTATTAATTATTCGAAAATACTTTAACTTTAATCTGCGAGATGCTATTCAACAGTTCAACTATAATCTTCATCTCTTTCTCTTTTAAAAATTATTCTTGCGACCAAGTAAAATTAATTTTAGAATTAAAGCCATTAACAATACCGAAATTAAACATCCATAGTTTAAGAGTCTGACATCTGAAACACTAGTATAAAATCTGTAACACAAGTTATGACATGCGGAAGAAAATACAAGTTCAAACATCACACACAAACATCAAACAAACATAAATAATCCAAACATGACATGCTTTAACAAAATATTTTGAAGCTTGACCACCACTACATATCAGCTCACGCGCCACGCGAGACTCCGTCACCTGAAAAATGGTGTTATCATGCATAAATCTATAGAAGAAGAAATTTCTACTCATGTATGCTAATGCGTGCATAGTTTCATACAAATACATTTGTATAATTCCAAGTTTTATGACTTTTAATTGAAGTTTTAATTGTGGATTTTTTATAGACAAATTTAACAATTATGCACTTATATTTTTTTTATGTTATATTATAAGAAACAATTTAAGTGAAATATGAAATTTTACAATATAAATAAATGTTTTTATTTAAAAAGTACAACGAGTCGTCTCGTATTCCACTATATTTTTGCAGAATTTGTGAGGCTATCGGTAAAAAATAAACACAAGCAATTAAAGTCAGCTCTGAATATCAGCTTTAACCACGCCCATGTACTTATTTGAATTAAGCTACTTTAACATAATGTCTTAGGAGATGATAAAATGTAATGTGTAAGCTTAATAATTCATTATTTTAAAATTCATATAATATGTAAAGTAACATAATTGTGGCACTGTGATATGATATTATATGAATTCATAACCTTTACTTTTTTTTTTTGGTACAATTTACAAAAAGATGAGGCTAAAGGCCTATGAAGAAGTTAAGTTAAGACTCCGTCGTGAGTAGGAGACCCCGATAAAATCGTGATCCAGCCTTTACTTTTTACACCACACCAAGTTGCTCTGCAACTTCCCCTTTTTATTGAAGCTTGACTTCTTAAAAAGTTCAAAACCTCCCCTTTTTTTTTCCACCACAGCCCCCCATCTTCCCATTATTTGCAAAGATTCCCCACTCTTGCAAAAAAAGTTGAAAAAGTAACCTCCACTGGCTGACATGAAATGAAAACAAAACCCTTGGCTTTTTTTGTTTTTCTTTTTTCTTTTTTTTTTTTTTT